TGTCGCTGCGAGTGCTTCCAATGTGACTGCAGAATCGGCCAACGAAAAACTGGGAGCACGACAAGCCACGGGTGGTATCCTCGAGAGACCACCAGTGAACTGTTTGTGTCTTTGCAGCGTACGTAGGTCGACAAGGGAAAACACACTCCTAAAGACAGGCCACACACCAAATTGGGTGTCGTGTCTCTCAAGCGTAAACGCACCTTAAACGGGCCCTGAAACACTGTTTCAAGTAACCATGGAATGAATACACTGGAAGAGCTCATTGCCTCACGAATTCAGCGCCGCAAAAATTTTAAGAAACCGTTCAGTGCGACAGGTTTGTCGCTTGCTGCAATTCAATTCTTTCGTCTCTCGTCCCGACGAAAATGCTGGAAGCTAAAGAGATAGGGATGGCAGGGCCATAGAAAAACGTCACGCACGCTTCGCGACTTTCAGCACTTTTGTTTTTTTTTTAATGTGCGGCTGTCTCAGTATGATCGAAGGTGCACGTGTGGACAAGTAGCGGCCTCCCGCGGCGATCTCTGTAACGAGCAAGCGCGTCATGTTCAAATCAGCCAATGTCTGATAGATGGGTCTTTGACGTGTGGTTACCGGGCAAATAACGTGATTTGTCGAGAAAAAGTTTTTTCGCTGACTTTAATAATTTATTGTGGATTACAGGCCGCGTGCTGTGCTATAAGATATTGCTTGCGTGTTGTCGGGAGCCTCTACTGACCATGCTCAGAAAGTGTTGCAGGGTGCCTTTAAGACAGCACGGTGGTGGTACGTGCCCGTCGCTTAGCGTTCTACACCTTATCGCCTCCAAGATGGGTGCGCATGCCTTCCTTTGTTTTCGAAGATAACTGCCAGATAGCGCTCGTGCATAACGTGCCTTGATGCACTAGTTGGCCTTCGCTGCACGGATTGAGACTCTCTAACTCAGCACTTCCAGGAAACAATTCACCGATTTTCTCGCACATAACATCAAATACACGTTTTGTTCACTCTCTCCAGACGCAATACTATCGTTTTTCGACGACATTTCCAGTAAAACATGCAGATATGAGACCAATTTTTCATCTTTTCTTCTTCGCAACATCGTTACATCCCTTTCCCCATGACCAAAGACGCTGAGCCACATTTCTGTTACGGGAGGCAGAAAATAGCGTCCTTCCTTTCGTTTCCCTTGACCCATACTGCTCTCTCACTCTCTCATCGATCAGATAATTCTCTGGATTCTCAAAGAAGAAATATGGCGATTCCGCATTTTGCCACGATACTTACAGTATACCTCCCGCAAAACTAGAAAAAGCAACATGGTGCTTTCCTTTCCAATACATAAAATACGTTTTGATCCCTTCGGACGTACAGCGGGGTGGCTTCTATAAAAATGACTACTCGTTTGAACGAAAATGCCAGCTTCACGGATTATGAATTCTGTTTTAAAAAACAAACAAACATTATCTCGCTCGTATTGTCTGTCGTAAGTACGACGATATACTGTCACCAAAAAAATCGTAGGTGCATATACATTAGGACTAGCTCTGGCAGATGTAAACTTCGTTTATTCGTTTTTTTAATTCTAGAAAGAGTCGCCATAAAATATTTTGAAAAATATTAGTATATGAAGGAGACAATGGCGGCATTGTATCATGCTTAAGACTAATTTTTCGTTCGTATGCTTACCTGGTAGCTCAAAAACGGCACACTTCTCTTTTCTTTGCCAGAATCGCATCACGTAGGGCGTCCCGTGTCCTGTACGGAATAAAATTAGAAAAAGAAAACAGGAAAAACCACGACGCGTTTCAGTTCTACCTTCTTGCCAATTGCGATTTTACGTTGTATAAAACTTTAGGTGACATGGCCATCCAAGACATCCATAGTCATTCTGAAACAAGAACCACTTTTGATTATGGACTCGAGGAATGCAGAAGGACACACAATTGCATGTTTATGGTGGACTTTAAATAAAAGCTTAGTAGCCTAATAGAGCACTGTTATCAAATTTATATAATGAGATGTGCCCTTCATTTGATCACTTGTTATCCATAGGTGGTCTTGGCCGAATTTGAATGGCGTCCGTCGCGTCGAAGTTATTTTATTTCGACGTCAAACGGCGTTAAAAAGCCTAGCAGAAAAAAAATAGCAGATCCTACGTACAGTGGGAATCGACGATATGCGAAGCATGACTGGGAAATGTTGATATGTCATTTTAAAATCAGCGCAACGTTACGAGGTGGAGGTCAATGATGACGTACATGACTTCCGTATCATGATTATCATGTTTGGATGTGTCCTTCACCTTCGTAATCTATTCACATCACGTAATATCACAATTTAGTATATGTGGAGCTAGCGAAACGACCACGAGCATGCTGTGAGCACTGTATGTCGTCATGTTCTCACATGACACGCATGTAGGGATTGTCATCTTTGCGCCAGTCATTATTTTGTCATCCATTGACGTCACGTAACACCAAATTTGGTGTATGTGGAGCTAGCGAAATGGCCGCGAGCGCTTCATGAAGGGCCCAATATACTCCAATGAAGCATTGGCGCACGCGCATGCTGGCCACAGCAATGCTACGTTAGCAAAACGCGAGCACTCTATGGTCTGACGCCAGGCGCAACCAGCGTCCGTCAGCATGTCCCAACGGCCACCGGCGTGAAATGTGACATGCTGAATTTTGCGCCGATGCGTTACCCAGACAACACTGTGTCTCCCTCTTTTCCTGACGGAGGGACACCGCACGCGCTGAAACGCACATGCATCGAAGCAACGCAGCCCGGCGCGCACCTGCAAGTATATGGCAGGACCGGTGCCTGGCGTGGCAACGCCGGCGTGACGCGACGAAATGAACGCCGGTGAGCATGCGCATCGCGTCACGTCGAAATGTATTCGGGCCTTGACTGTGTCATGTAGTCATGTTCTGACATGACACGCATCTCAAGATTATCATGTTTGCACTAGTCTCATATCTTCGCCATTCATTGGCGTGATGTAATACCAAATTTGGCATATGTAAAGTTAGCAAAACAACTGCGAGCGCATCATCAGAGTGGCATGTAGTCATGTTGTTACACGACACGCATGTCGTGATTATCATGATTGGATGGGTCATTTGCTTACGCCGTCCGTTAGTGTCGCGTAATACCGAGTTTGGTATATCTGAAGCTAGCGAAACGGCCACGAGCGCATCATGAGCGTAGCATATAGTCGTGTTTGTATATGCCACACATCTCATGTTTATTATGTTTGCACCATTAACATGCCTTCGTCATCCATTCCCGTCGCGTAGATTAAATTGAGTATAAGTGAAGCTAGCAAAACGGCCGCCAGCGCATCATGAACGTGGCATGTAGTGTGTTGTTACATGACAAGCATCTCATGATTATCATGTTTGCAGCAGTCACATACCTTCTTCATCTACTCACGTACTGTAATACCAAATTTGATATATGTAACGCTAGCGAAACAGCCTCCAGCGCATCATGAGCGTGGCATGTATTCATATTGTTACATGACATGCATGTCATGACCATGTGAGGGTCTGTCGCTTGTGTGCGCTATTCATTTATGCCATACCATACTAGTTTTAAAACATGCCTTGTAAACGAAACCACCGCAAGAGCTGCAGGATTGTGAAAAGTAAATCATGACATTCATCACATACATGTCATGATTTTCATGTTATGAAGACTGAAATATGTTTTTCATACAGTCATGTTATGCCATACCAATTTGGTATCGATACCATTATTAAAACGGCCAGGAGAGCTAATAGTCGTAGGCGGTTAGATAGATAGATAGATAGATAGATAGATAGATAGAAATATAGATAGATAGATAGGTAGAGACATAGATAGATAGATAGATAGATAGATCATCATCATCATCATCATCATCAGCCTGCCTACGTCCACTGCAGGACGAAGGCCTCTCACATGTTCCGCCAGTTGACCCGGTCCTGTGCTTGCTGCTGCCAATTTCTACCCGCAAACTTTTTATTCTCATCTGCCCACCTAACCTTCTGTCTCCCCCTAATCCGATTGCCTTCTCTGGAGATCCAGTTAGTTACCCTTAACGACCAGCGGTTATCCTGTCTACGCGATACATGCCCGGCCCAGGTTCATTTCTTCTTCTTGGTTTCAGCTATTATATTCTTAACCCCCGTTTGTTCCCTACTCCACTCTGCTCTCCTTTTGTCTCTTAAGGTTACACCTACCATTTTTTTTTTCCATTGCTCGCTGCGTCGTCCTCAATTTAAGCTGAACCCTCTTTGTAAGTCTCCAGGTTTCTGCTAAGTAGCGTCAAGATAGAGCTGCTATATACCTTCCTCTTGAGGGATAGTGGCAATCTACCTGTCATAATTTGAGAGTGCTTGCCAAATGTGCTGCACCCCAATCTTATTCTTCTAGTTACTTCAAACTCGTGGTTCGGCTCCGCGGGTATTACCTGCCCTAAGTAGACATAGTCTCTTAAACTTGAAGTGCACTATTACCTATCTCGAAGTGCTGCTCTTTCCCGAGGTTGTTGCACATTACTTTCGTTTTCTGCAGATTCATTTTAAGACCCACCTTTCTGGTCTGCTTGTCTAACTTCGTAATCATCACTTGCAATTCGTCCACTGAGTTACTCAGCAATGCAATGTCATCGGCGAAGCGCAGGTTACTAAGGTACTCTCCATTAACTCTTATTCCTAACTGTTCCCATTCTAGGCTTATGAAAACCTCCTGTAAGCACGCGGTAACTTGCATTGGGGACATTGTGTCCCTCTGCGTTACACCCTTCTTGATTGGTATTTTGTTGCTTTCTTTATGAAGCACAATGGTAGCAGTTGATCTCCTGTAGATTTCTTCCAGGTTGTTTATATATACTTCATCAACGCCCTGATTCCGCAGTGTCTGCATGACGGCTGATATTTCTACTGAATCAAATGCTTTTTCGTAATCTATAAAGGCTATATATTGTGGTTGGTTATATTCTGAGCATTTCTCTATTACCTGATTGATAGTATGAATGTGCTCGATTGTTGAATAGCCTGTTCGAAATCTTGCTTGTTCCTTTGGTTGATTGAATTCTAATGTTTTCTTTACTCTGTTAGCAATTACCTTTGTAAATAGCTTGTATACTACACAGAGCAAGCTAATCGGCCTGTAATTCTTCAAATCGTTGTCATCTTCTTTCTTATGTATTAAGATGATGTTAGCGTTCTTTCAAGACTCTGGTACTCATCCCGTCAGGAGACACCTCGTAAACAGGGTGGCTAGTTTTTCTAACAGAATCTGTCCTCCATCTTTCAGCAGATCTGATGTTACCTGATCCTCACCAGCAGCTTTGCCTTTTTGTATGCTCTCCAAAGCTTTCCTGACTTAAGCTATCATTACTGGTGGGGTGTCATCTGGGTTACTGCTAGTTCTTATAGTATTAAATCATGGTTGTCCCGGCTTCTGTACAGATCTCTGTAAAACTCCTCCGCTATTTGAAATATCCTATCCACATTGGTAGTTATTTGCCTTCTTTGTCCCTTAGTGCATATATCCGATTTTTGCCAGCCCAAGTTTCCTCTTCACTGCTTTGACGCTTCCTCCGTTTTTCAGAGCGTGTTCAATTCTCTCCATGTTATACCTTCTTACATCGGATACCTTACGCCTATTAATCAACTTCGAAAGCTCTGCCAGTTCAATTTTGTCGGCTGTACTTGAGACTTTCAGGATTTGACGCTTTTTATAGAGATTCTTTATTTCCTGGGAAAGCTTGCCAGTGTCCTGTTTAACTACCCTGCCTCCAACTTCCACTGCACACTCCGTAATAATACTCGTCAGATTATCATTCATTGTATCTACGCTAAGGTTGGTTTTTCTCACTAAGAGCCAAGTACTTGTTATGAAGAGAGACTCTGAATTCCTGTACTTACCCCATCTCAGTGCTAGCTCATTGATTGGCTTCTGGCGTATCAGTTTTTAACGTTCATTTCTTAAGTCTAGGCGAATTCGAGATAGATAGCATAGATACGCTCAATGTCGCCAAAGTTCTCTAAGAAATGCTTCGCATTTAAAATAAAACAATAGACTCCCCTGCGGCGTCGACACTAGTGCTACGTGTTAGGTGTGATACATTCCACAAATACTATTCCGAATGACGATACGCTAGTAATGATGTCGTCGACAATCTCCCAGTGTTTTGAGGTGACTCCCAGCCATGCTCTCACTAGTGCCTCTTCTTTCTAGGTGAGTGTGCAAGCGGTTCATTGTGTCGCATCGACTGATTTTCGTTGTGCTCCACTGCGTGTGAGTACGATCATTCAGAGCGACAATACGTTCCAAAATGTCGGGGAATCGCTGCGTAGTGAGAACCTGAACGTCGAGGCGCGGAAAAAGCGGGAAGTGCGTGGCATTTCATGCTTTTCTTAGTCATGAACATCAACGCAGTCAATGGGTTGACTTTGTACGTGCTGATGGACAGAGGGACAGGACGCTTGTGAAGAACAGCCGCATTTGCTCCTTTCGCTTTGCGGCAAGCTGCAACAGGGTAAATCCTGTGTTGGCGAACCAGCTGGGTTTCGCTGGAATTACGAGGCCTTTTCTCGAGGCCGGGGCTATTCCTACCGTGTGCCCTGCTGCAGCTAAAAGCAGCGATTCATTCGCCAAACATCCGCGACATGTGGTGCATAGTTGGTGTTCCTGAGCTTCAACAGTGTGGCCGGGACTGACAAATACATTGCATTTAACGCGGAGCTTGTCAAGCAAGGATC